GAATGAACTGCATCTCGCCAACAAGAAGCCAGCCAAAAAAGGCAGTGACAGAAAAAGGGATGGCACAGTCGCAACACAAACAAGCAGACTTCCAAATGGCACGAGCGCAAAGCTCCAATAATTAAAAAAAAGAGAGGCTAAGAGAGCCACATACAGAGAGAGAATGGGGGCTGGGGAAAAGAGAGCGGGAGAGAGAAGGAGACAGAGAGAGCTGCCAGCAGAGGTGGGTTATGGTATTCTAGCCAAGTGGGCACATCCCTTCCTTAAGTCCAACACGAAAAGAGCTGCAAGGGGAGAATACAATCACAAACACAAGCAAGCACATGACACCCAACACATAAACAAAAAGCATGCGCAACCACAACCACAGGGGGAGCGGGACGAGGAGAAATAGAGAAGAGGAGGGGATAGGAGAGAGGGGATAAGAGAGAGATACCTGCAAGAAGAGGTTGGTTATGGTATTGTAATCAAGTGGACACCCTCCTTCCATACGGCCCATATTTATTGCGAAGTCCACCGCTGCCTGCTCACATGACCAATGAACTCAGATAAGCTGCTAAACAAGGCAAGAGGGTGAGATAGGAGAGAGGGGATAAGAGAGAGATACCTGCAAGAAGAGGTTGGTTATGGTATGGTAATAAAGCGGACACCCTCCTTCCATATGGGCCATATTTGTTGCAAAGTCCACCACTGCCTTCTCACATGACCAATGAACTCAGATAAACTGCTAAACAAGGCAAGGGGGTGAGAGCCATAACCGAAAGAAAAATAAAATGAAACTATACCCATCAACTGAGTTTGGGAAACCAGTCTCTCTCTCTCTCTCTCTCTCTCTCTCTCTCTCTCTCTCTCTCTGTGCTAGGGATTTGCAGGATTTAAATTTTAAACCTGTAACCTGCCCAAGCACTTGCTCCATTTCAAGAGTTCGTTGCTTTTGTCCTTGGCAGGATTCGAGCCTCGAAACAAACCAAGTGCAGTTGTTGTGCATTCCCAGGACCTGTGTCGAGTCTCATTTTTTTTTCTTAATTTTAGGTTTTTCTTTTAGAAGGCAGACATGGCAGGTCTAGGCACGTAGCAGCTCCTCAAAAGTGTCAAGATGAGGCAAGACCCTCGGTAAAAAATCATTTATCATAATTTCGCTGCACGCCAGTTGAGGAAAGAGAGAATGCAGCCCTAGCCAGTGAGAACTTGCTGTTTCACTGCAAGGTTTCTCGAACCCATTGTGCAGGGAGGCAGGGCGCTCAATTCTACATCGCCTTGTTCTGGTTCATCAAACTATTTTGGGTGTGATTGTTGAGTTCCGATTTTGTGGAGTTGAATAAGAAAAATGCTAGGCTGGTCCTCAGGCGGCACGGCTGGGGGAAGGTCGTCGGGGTACCCTCCTGGGCAGCCTGGGCCTGGCAGTGGCTGGGCAGGGTCTCCGGCAGCCCCAGCGCGTAGTATTAAAAAAAAAAAAAAAATCAAAAACTTCAAAAAAATCTGGGAAAAAAAATATGTTGTATAAAATTGCAGTACAAACAACTTTTGGCTGAGGGTACCGCTGAGACGTTGAATTTGGGTCAGGTATTCATTTCATCTTAATAGGCTGGTATCCTGCTGTCATCTGAATTATTGAGGCAGAATGGTGAGCATTGCTCCACTGGGGCTTCGTCATGGAGGGCGGGGAAGCATCCGTAGGGGGTGTATGCAGAATTGAGGGAGGGGCTTACCCTAAATCACGAGGTGGGTGTGTTTTGCGGGGCTTTTTGGCCCCTGCAGTGCAGGAGGTGGGGTAATCCCCTGGTTAGTGAAAACAGCATTGTGGTGGGAGCTGGTGTTTTTGCATGAAGAGTGTGGGGAGGTGCTATCCGCTTTGAATCGCGAGGAGGTGGGTGGGTTTGCAAGGTCTCTGTCAGCAGTTAGAGGCCTGTGGGCACAGACCCCTATCGCCCGGGTGGAAGGGCCGATTGGCAGGGGTTGGTAGTACCTCTGGATGAATAGAGGACATGATCAAGTAGCGCTGACCGCTGGTTCTTTTCTGTGGTTTTGATTGCTTTTCATGGTTGGTGCATTGAGTGTGAACGATATGCAGAAAACCAAGTTGCGAAATCACACAGATGTCAAGGTAGTCGTATCCAAGCAGAGAGTACAAAATGCACTGAGAAACCATCCATACGGAGCAATACAATGAAGTAATGAGCCAATGTTCAAGCCCGTAGGCCACACCAACACAGTATCCAAAGTCGCTCCTCTCTGTCTGGCGCCCAGCGCCCAACCTACTCTGTCCGACTATGCTACCTACAGCTGGTTCACGCAACAGGCTCACTTCAACTCTCGAAGACCAATGTACATGGAAGCTTCCAGTAGCATCCGGTTGGGCCTCAGACCCTGTGCCCAGGCCCGAGACTACAGTTGAGGGCCTGCCTGAGTCTTCGGACTTGGGCTGTTTGCTGCATCCATGCAGGGCTCCCAGGCAGGTGCGTCGGCAGTACTGCTTTTGCAAAGGACGATGGCCTGCTTCTCAATGTATTGGCCCTGCTTTGTGTGTATGTGCCCAGGCGCAACTGCCAAAGCCTGGGCCAACTGTATGACGCCGCTTTGTGAGGCTCACGCGTCTACCCAACCAACAGGCGTGCTGCAAGAGCCAGAATACCTGGCCTGGCCTGCCTCACTTCTTATATGGAAGTGGCAGCCTCCTGGATGCCGCATGTGGCCTGGCTGGAAGCTTCCAGTAGCATCCGGTTGGGCCTCAGACCCTGCACCCAGGCCCGAGACTACAGTTGAGGGCCCGGGCCCTTTTCAGTTGGGCACGGCCTGAGTCTCCGGACTTGGGCTGTTTGCTGCATCTGTGCAGGGCTCCCAGGCAGGTGCGTCGGCAGTACTGCTTTTGCAAAGGCCGGCCGATGGCCTGCTTCCCAATGTATTGGCCCTGCTTTGTGTGTATGTGCCCAGGCGCAACTGTCAAAGCCTGGGCCAACTGTATGACACAGCTTTGTGAGGCTCACGCGTCTACCCAACCAACAGGCGTGCTGCGAGAGCCTGAATACCCACATATGGAAATGTTGAATTTTGCCTCTGACAAATATTCATGCCCACCTTCACTTAGGGCGGGCACTTGGCTTGCTGGAGGCCTTAGCCCAGATCATGTGATGTCTGATAGGGCCCCTTGAGGGCTTGTTCCTCACATTACATCCCCCTTAGCTTCGAAAGTCCGCTGAGATGCTTCATGCTGGTGCCTTCCCCTTCAGTTTCTTCTCATAATCTGCCACGATCTGAGGAGCTTCCTTGACAAGTTCTTCCCTTGAAATCCATCGATCTTCCTTAGGATCAGTATGATGCCTGAAATGTACTCAGGGAAATAGGGAAAATGAGGTGTCGCAGATTTTTTTTTCTTTTTTTCTTTGGTGGGGGGGGGGGGGATTAGGCCCCGGGGGCTACCGGGGGAAAATGGCCGTTTGGGCGCGCAAAAAAATTTTCAATCCGCGCGCGGGCCTGGAAAAAAACTTGGGGGGAGATCTGAGTAGTTCGTTTTCGAACTACTCAGACCTCCCCAACGTGGTTCAGGCCGAACCCCACGCCTCAGTTGGGCACCCCAGTAGTCGGCCTGCTCGCCCGTTGTTGCTCTCCTTCGGCGGCGGCCTGTTCTTCATTGTCGTCGTCGGACCAGCCCTTCAGCAGCAGCTTCCGCCATAGCTCGAGGACGGAACAGGAGGCAGCAGCAGGCAGCTCGAGCAGGCAGTGGGAGCGACGAAGCGTCCATTCAGGAGGGCTGCCACCAGCTCTCTCTCTCTCTCTCTCTTCTCGCTCTTCCCTCCTCTCTCTCTCCTTCGAATACCCACCATCCAATCACCTTTTTTTTTTTTTTTTTCTGGTAGCCACATGGCAATTCGCTCCACGCGACACCAGCACCCCTCCCGCCTCCTTCCTCCCTTTCTCTTCCCTCCTCTCTCCCTTCTTCGTCCATCTCTCCCTCCTCCTTCCTCCCTTTCTCTTCCCTCCTCTCTCCCTTCTTCTTCGTCCATCTCTCCCTCTCTCCCTTCTTCTTTGTCCATCTCTCCCTCCTCCTTCCTCCATCTCTCTCTCCTCCTTCGGCTCTCCCTCCTCCTTCCTCCCTCAGTCTTCGTTCATTCATCTTTCCCTCCTCCCTCCTCCATTTCTCCCATCCTTTCTCCCTCCTTTCTCCACTCTCATTTCTCCCTCCTCCTTCCTCCCTTTCAAGTTCTCTCTCTCTCTCTCTCTCTCTCTCTCTCTCTCTCTCTCTCTCTCTC